GTCCCCTATTAGTATTCTTATTATCTTTACTAGTATTAGCATTCGTATTATTAGTATTCTTCTTAATAGGCCTCCTCCTCCTCCTCCTCCTCCTCCTCCAACTCCTCCTCCCCCTCCTCCTCCTCCTCCTCCTCCTCCTCCTCCTCCTCCTCCTCCTCCTCCTCCTCCTCCTCCTCCTCCTCCTCCTCCTCCTCCTCCTCCTCCTCCACACCTCCTCCTCCTCCTACCTCCACTCCTCCCTCCTCCCTCCTCCTCCTCCTCCTCCTCCTCCTCTCCTCCTCCTCCTCCTCCACCTCCTCCTCCTCCTCTCCGCCTCCTCCTCCTCCTCCTCCTCCTCCTCCTCCTCCTCCTCCTCCTCCCTCCTCCATCCCTCCTCCCCCCCTCCTCCTCCTCCTCCTCCTCCTCCTCCTCCTCCCTCTCCTCCCTCCTCCTCCTCCTCCTCCTCCTCCTCCTCCTCCTCCTCCTCCCCTCCTCCTCCTCCTCCCTCCTCCTCCTCCTCCTCCTCCTCCTCCTCCTCCTCCTCCCCCTCTCCCCTCCTCCTCCTCCACCTCCTCCGCCTCCTCCTCCTCCTCCTCCGCCTCCTCTCCTCCTCCTCCTCCTCCTCCTCCCTCCTCCTCCTCCTCCTCCTCCTCCTCCTCCCTCCTCCCCCTCCCCCTCCCCCTCCCCCTCCTCCTCCTCCACCTCCGTATCCTCCTCCTCCTCCTCCTCATCCTCCTCCTGCTCCTGCTGCTCCTCCTCCTCCTCCTCCTCCTCCTCCGCCTCTTGCCTCTTGCCTCTCTAGAGGGTGTTCTCCACATGCTGGCACCCCTCCCGACCGTCAGGCGTACAGCTCCAGGGACTGGCCGTAGGACTCGCACAAGGCTACGCACTGCTCCACGATGATCCATGAACACAAACCCGTATGCTGCGCACACCGCGACGTATCCATGGACCCACCGCAAACAAATGGCCTTGAGAAGTTCAAACAGATTCAGCCCAAGGAGAAGTGATCAACTGCTGTCGGTTTTCTGGCCGCCGTAGGTCTGAGTGTACACAGTTTTCGCAGTAATAATCTTCAGTCGAACTCGGCGCTGCAAAGGAATAGCTTATTGCCCAAAGGGATGGGGCCGGCACAGGAATCGCATTCCAGAGGGTGATCATCGACCTCCTCCCAGCGCATCCAGTGTCCCCCCGCACAGGCCTTCCTTTGGCTGGCTACAACAACATCCTGCGTGACCTCCGACACCACCTCGGCGGCCGCCACAGGGGGGCCTGGCAGCGACGTGGCCGAACACACCTCGTCCGACTCATGGCTGTCAGTCTCCTGTGGCTTCTGCTCCTCAGTTACTCCGCTCGTCTGGTTTCCCTGCACCGGCCTAAATTCCCCGTCATTCGCATCTACACCCGTCGGGGGGCGGGGTGCCTCGGACGGATGCTGTGCAGGCACCGCAGTGCTGCAAACTAATGGCTCCCACACGCCAAGAGGGCCATGGAAGCTACCAGACTCCAGGCTGACACCTGACTCGGCATTCCTTGCGAGAAAATGAGCAGCGGCCCCCGCGACAAACACAGCAGCACCACCATTCCAGCAGAAAGAGCCAGTGACCTGTTCAGCATGAAGCAAAGTCTCGAGACGGGGCCCGTGCTGGGCTTTACGCAACTCCTTGCCGTTGGCGCAAGAAATCTTCACCCCAGGGGCCAATGCGTGCAGGGCAACATTGCGTCGTAGGCACTCCTGGTGCTCTGGTTGAATGCCTTCAACCAGTTTGACGAGGCAAGGGACCATCGCCACCACTCGGTCGGCAACCGCAGCCGGCAGGTCCAGGGCGATCGCAGTGGCCGACACCAGGTGGTCCAGCTTCCTCTTGAGCTCGTCCCTCTCGACGCTGAGACGTTGCAGTGCGGCATCCGCACTGGCTTGAGCGGCATGCCGAGCAGCTGAGCGTTCCGCTCGCGAACGCTTCCAGACACCACCACGGGCATCTTCCCGCGCCATGCCCATAAGCCCAAAGCCCCGCTCCCCCAAGTCCCCCCCGCCCGCCGCGTTGCCCCGTGAATCAGGGGTCGCAGGGTACGGCTGGGGACAAGGCCCAGGAGCAGGGGGCCTACGGAAAGGCATGAGCCAAAATGGCTACGGACCTCCTCCTCCGCCTCCTCCTCCTCCTCCTCCTCCTCCTCCTCCTCCTCCTCCTCCTCCTCCCCCTCCTCCTCCTCCTCCTCCTCCTCCTCCTCCTCTCTCCTCCCCCCCCTCCTCCTCCTCCTCCTCCACCTCCGTCTCCTCCTCCTCCTCCTCCTCCTCCTCCTGCGTTCCCTCCTCCTCCTCCTCCTCCTCCTCCTCCTCCTCCTCCTGCTCCTCCCCGCCTCCTCCTCCTCCTTCCCCTCCTCCTCCTCATCCTCCTTCCCGCCTCCTCCTCCTCCTCCTCCTCCTCCGCCTCCCTCCTCCTCTCCTCCTTATACTCGTCCTCCATCCTCCTCCTCCTCCTCCTCCTCCTCCTCCTCCTCCTCCTCCTCCTCCTCAGTA